GGTTTGCGACAGACTTTAAAAACAAATTGTGGAGTATTAGAAGATGCTAGTGAAAGCGCCTCAATAATGAATCTTCAAGCAAATGTATCTATCGGTCAAAGTACAAAGCAACTACCCATTGATCAAGACAAATCCTGGATTGTAATAGTGGCATTACATGCAGAAAGTCGTCTTCATGAATCAAATATTTACGAATCACGAGCCAAGATGAAAATTATAAAGCAACACTGAATAATCAATTCTGAATTGCGACAAAGTTTCTTGTTTATTTCAGAGCTAGCATCAGAGTCATTGGGGTCATGGATGGTTGGAGGACGGACTAAAGACAAGGACTGTGGATTTGACCATCATCGCGGTGAACACAGTAGCGATGACCTGCGTCCTCCGCAGCACGACTTCAGCATCTTCTCATTTGAAGCACAGGTCATTGGTATTGAGTGTAGCAAAAAGGTCACGCCTCTTTGGCGACCCAACTGCAGGAGTGGAATATGGCACGGATCTAGACAGGCGGGAAAATGTTGCCGGTACGCAAGTGCCGCCGAAATGGTGTGACGCGTTCTCTGCTGCCAACGCGAAAGTCTTCGGTGCTCATGGAGGCACAAACGTCTACACCCTGATGCAGCCTCCACCTTTAAAGGAAATTTGTTCATGAGAATAATGCTATGCATATCTTATCAGTCAAACAAATTCAATGTCAATTGACTGACAACTAGATGTTCTCTTCTCAGCTATTAAACATGCTTGGGCTACTCTTGAATTTGGAATCACCAAAATTGTTGAATTAACGGCAATTTTATGGTTCGAATGAAGAAAACCAACGTTTGCCAACCCCATTTGGTGAACTCAATGAGTGGTCTTTTGACAGACACATATCAAGCAACCACTGCACACTGTACTTTCTGTGTTGTCCCAAGAAACAAATTGTTGACGAACGTCTGAGATAATAGATGTCATTTGAGAAAATGGGAATTACCCACCCTAACCATGAGTATCAAAGCCTGTCTATTAAAACTTGCACAATTATCTCGAGCTACTGTCGTAAGAACCACCCACCGTATGTACCACTCTGCAGAGAAAACGATGCCCATAAACGAACGTCGTTAGCAAATGCTTTACACGACTAACCATATAATGATGGGACGTAAAAAAGGAAAGCAAAGTGCGAATTCAAGCCACATAAAGCCTCAATGCTACACTTAAATCATTTACATTGGCAACAGAAA